AGGGGTTAACGAAAGTTGTGACGAAGAAGTTGTGACATTAAGATTTTTTTTGTTCCCCGGAGATATGGGACTGTTGATTTTCCAGTGTAACTGTTGATGACATAAATTAGTGACGTGGATTATCAAATTATGATGTGGATTTAATAATTAAAATTTGTATTAATAGTAACAAAATTAAACAAGGGTGTTTATTGTAATTACTAGGAGTCTAAAAACATTCTAGTAATTTTTAGAAAATGTATACTATTCTAGTCATATACCAACTTTTGTGTATCATTCTAGTAATTTTCTCTATTATAAATAAACTACATTTTTAATACAAGATCATCAATAGACATTCAATTAATTAGTTACGTATTCAGTACATTAACATAAACCTTAACCCTATTTCTGTGTTGGATCTTGCGGAAGAACACTTAAGTCAATATAATGAGGAAGGTTGTACACTGATTATGGTATTGTTTCTTTAGAAAATCTAGTGTTAAATCTCTTGACTATTTTGTTTTCTATTGATTGTGAGTTTGTGATATCCACGAACATAACAATAATTAAGGAAACACTGCTATGAATACTGACTAATTCTGTGTTCGTGTGAAAACTCTAATACTTTGAGACATGTATGTTTCATCCCGTGAAAGCGTAAGGTTACGGACCTTCCTCAGTTTCCCCCTTGAGACAATCTATCTTATTAAAGTTGTAGTACTCTTTAGATTTGTTTGGATACTTGAATAGTAGTAATAAAGAGTTTAATGTTGTTTGGCTATAAGTTTAATAGAGTTGGGTTTTTAAACATTGTTATAATAGAATTGGGCTTTTGTTTAATTTATTTTAAGTTATGGTTGGTTTTAATGATTTGGCCCATTGTAGTAATTTGTGTTTTTAGTTTATATAAAGACCATATTCAATTTTATTTATTGTTGATTAAATTAAAAAATAACATCAGTTTTTAAGATAATAAAAATTTACATTTCAAATAATTTAATACTCAAATATATTTTATCTAAAGTATTTTACATTATTCAAATTATCATAAAGACACAAAATATTTGAATAGTTTTGACTAAAATATTAAAATTTTGTTTTCGTAACTGGATATTTATCTGAAACACCTATCCCCCCCCCCCCAAAATCAGTTTTAACCCGATTAATCTAAAATTAATCCTAGAAATCGTAACCAAACCGTTATCATATTGGAACCAAAAATTTATCTGATATTAGTCGGTTATTATAATTATTACCAAACTCAGCTCAAACCAAAAGAATCGAACCGGACGCAAATCAATTTATATAGATAACAGAACAGATCTTATATCTGTAGAATTAAAAAAACTACGAACATAAAGAATCCAACAAAAGTTGAA